CTCTATCCTTCGGGTAAAGCTCATCTGTGAGGATCATCTCTGGGTCAAGTATAATTTACCTCATTTTATTGTCTTTCATAGTGACAAAGAACCTTCTAAAGCGGAGAAATCTTTAAACTAAATAGAATGACATCAACAGCTAATTAGCTAAAAGTATCCAACCTGCTAATTTCGGTACTGTCGTATAAGATGCATTGAAACCTTTGGCTGTTACAACGTGATCTGAATGAAACGTAACTATCATTTTATTGGTCGATGACTGTATGATTGGCAGAGATGAAATCGTTGCACAATATTTTCCAAGCGTTGTTAAGTCACCTTTCAGTGACTCTTGTCGTATATCTACATAATCGCAGCCGCAGCGGTTGTTTCCGCACGAGGAAGGATTGGATTCGAGTTCGAAGACTCCAAACTGTAGTCGTATCACGTGATCTCTGGGGGCAGTAATGTTCCACTGACAGTCTTGAAAGTTGTGGTAATTGCTTGGGAAATATGGTGAGGAAAATTCTCCGCTTGCCTGATTTAAGTTCCATTTGCATTCTATAGAGAGTTGTCAGTGTAAGAAATTGCATTTATCTTTAAGTGATTTCAGACAGAGAAGCATCGAATAAACAGCACCCTGAGTAACCCTTACATCTCTATGCGTTCTGTACACAGGTGTTTAGTTAGGAAGTTGCCTTTACTGTTTAACAAAATAAAAAAACAGAAGCATCGAATAGGTCGCTGTAATACCACCTATCCCTGCTTTCCCTCAACAAAAACTCTAGGAAAAAACACAAGGCCAGTTGATGATACTTAAATAATGACGTGGAAACGATAATACCAAGGTATCCTCCTACTTTTGGGATTAAGACTTCAATATATATATCTTTAAACTGTAATGCCTGAGCGCGTTTCACCCAGACAGTGAGGGTGTGACCGTTGGGGGCGTGTGCTTTCGCGCCCCAAACTGGGAAGGCGGCTCAAATCGTATCAGCTCCTCGTAACATCTTTTGTTGCGAATTAGCGTTTAAAGGCACTAATTCTGCGTTCTACTACAAAGATATTATAACCTCATTTATTTCTTACCTCTGTAGTAACAATAGTGAATCGTGGGCTCCTTACGATCAGCTCCGTAGGGAAAAGGATAAACCCTGGTGTCCATGTTGTCTGTATTTTCGGTATCAAAGACCACATATTCAAGCGAATACACAGCACCCTGGACTTCTTGACAAGTTGTGGACCCAAACGCCATGAGATAAAAAGGCTTAATGACCGGCAGTGCTATTCTTTTGATAGCAGACCCTGTTGTCTTACAACAAAAATATATCAAAGTGTCCTGGTTGTAAACTCCTGCGGGAAGTTTTCCTTCTTTGTTATTTCGATTGGATCCGTTTTTTTCGTTGTTGTCATCCCAACGAACGAAGCCTTCGTAAAATTCCTGAGGACAGAAGGCGCCCTCTTTGTAAATGCAGTATTTTCCGTTTGGCCATTTAGGCTTTCCTTTATCGGTTGCTGTGGAGTTTTTCACGCAGAAGTGTTGCGTTATGTCTGGCTTTCCCACCTTAGCTTTTAAGTGAATGCTCGTTGAATGTGCGTTTCTATTGCCATCGTTTTCTAATTCCTCAGTTCGGTGTCCTGTATGCCACGTAAATCCGCTGCTATTGGGACATCCCGAGTTTGCCATCGGTAGAGCATACGAACCCGCCGGCCACGAAGAAGAAGCTGAATTATTAATAATATACATTAAAAGGGAAATTTCAATTGCTCTTCCTATGTATTCGTTGCAGTAAATTCAGTTTTGGTGAATTTTTTTCGCTGTGAAGTTTGTTACCAATCGCATTTTCTCGCTCTGTGGACTATGTACATGTATTAATTACTTGCAGTTCTCATTGTCTCGTTGTTGTATGTTTTTTTTTCCCGATTGGCTGTTTTGATAACCGTCAGCGGTCTAAATGAACACCAGAGGAGTCACTGTGCCTACATATTTCTGAGGGACCGGCCGTTATTTATCTTCTGGAAGGGGCAGAGGGGGGTAGGGGGAAGGGGGGCGATAAAAATTTACCCGATCCTCCATACGTCTCTAGGGTGTTCTTGTGATCGCCCTTCATGGCGACGATTGATTCCCCCTTCCTTTCCCCTGAAAACCATGTACCTTTCTCTCCCCCCTCCCCCCCCCAAAAAAAAGAAGAAAAAGAAAAACTTCACCCCTCATAGCCCCCCACGCGCTAGATGTTAACTTGTCTCTAAGGGAAAGAACCAAGTTATTTCAATGCATCTCCAGCCAGAATAGGCAGGAAAGATCGATATTTAAATCTATGGGGTGAAAGGGTCAAAGAATTTCTTCCGTGCGATGACTGATTGGAGAAAATACAAGGCCAGATATCAAATATGATAGTGTGGTAAGAAAAGCCGCCAAGATCTGTCTGTCTGTCTGTCTTCGATTGAAAAATTGCGATCAGTGTGCCCCTCTTCTCAATTCCGAAGTAGAATAAAGTAAATTTTTGCAGCAAAGACATTGTAACCAAAATGGTATCATGGTTTATCTGAAATCAATCCATCCGCTTGAAATCGAATTAAGAAAAGTATGTTCTTACTACTTTGGACCCGTAGGACCCGTATGACTAAATTTAGATCAATGTACCGGATATAGCTCTTATTTATAACATAAACACATAAGGTTGTTATTTCAACGCCTTCTCTACCACTGACATGTCAGAAACTAATAAGTTTTAAAACGGCTTAAGTGTCAATTGTTCATTTAGAAGTGGTAAGAACTTAATCGTTCCAAAAGAAGCCCTGCTTTACATGCAACTTCAATACTTCGTGCTGAAAGGGCGTCATCATCAACCTACACAATAACCGGACGTGTCTAAACCCTTTCTTTTTTTCATGATTCTACGGTAAATTGCCCAAATACGTGAGTGGTAAGCGGAAACTCTTGACTTACGGTTGACCCATATTCTGGCGCCTCCGTCAACCTCGTGTCAGTTTGGCGTTTGCCATGGCTTTTAGCCAGTTTTGTTTCAAAACCACACATCTGTTTTTTTTCTTCAAATTCTACTAATGCACAGAAACATTACGAGTCAACTGTCTCATAAATTTCACTGTCGCCGTGTGCGTTAAAATCCAACAAAAAAATCTAACATTGACTGAAAGATGCAGCGTTTTTCTCCTTTCCTTTTTTTTTTTTGGACGCGGAGAGATACATGCTGTGAAAGCCTGTAAAGATTCAATGATGTCTTGCTGGTTAAAAGTATTTGAACTGTCAGAGGTCCTTTTGGTTACCTCTACGGAATTCGTAATTTCTACGAAAAGCTAGCAAGAAAAGTCTTAGTTGTTGGTTTTGATACTTTTTATCAGCCTTGTTTATCCTTCCTATCTTAATCACCGGACCGATTAGATCGGCAATCGGGGCAATTTAAACCTAAACAGAGAAACATCACTCGCCGCTTCAGGCTGTGATACAAAAGTTCAGTTCCAATCTTTGGGTTTCAAACGTATTTTTTTATCGCTAATAAAGCTTTTTCAAATTTCTTTCTTCTCAAACTGTTTAAAGTTAATGGCACAGTTCACAAAGGCAGACCTACTCTTCTAATGTCGAGGTAAGTTGTACATGAGCTTGAGACATCGTCATCGAACTTCAGCTAAACGTGTTTCAGTTGATACCAACAGTACGATAAATCTTACTTACCAGTGACGTGAACGAAACACCAAGCTGCATCGAAAGACATCGCGAATAAGATCAAGCTATAAAACAACTCCATCTAAGCAGATTATTCACCGTTCATTCGAGAAAATAAAAACAAGCTCGTCTGACACGGTTACTGTTATAGATGTTTATCTTTGTGCTGTCTGGTTGTAACCGGGCTAAGTCTAACGATCGTGTGATTGGTCGATAAGACGCCACGTGTCCTTAAGGTCCTTGTTCACTTATCAGCCTTCTACTGATAAGTGTTATGATTTCAGGAAATCCATAGAGACAGAGGGTCTCCTGGCAAGAGCTACTTTTTACTCAGTTTTACTGCCTTAATTCCAACGATATTCTGCTTGCTTCAAATCAATAAGTGACGCACATAGTTTTCCTGTGAGATAAAAGGATAATAAGAGCTATTCAATTAGCTAACCTGTCCTTCTAAAAGGGATTTCACTCAGGGATATGACAAGTTTTACTCGATAAACGACTAAATGTCAGATTTTTAACAAACATGGAGACTAATCGTGGAGATTATTTAACGTTTAGCATTTTTCCCATGACAAGTTTCTTTAGCAGCTTTTACTAATCAGTAGTGAGGTTGCCTGATATGGAAATCAGTGACCTGTTTTATTCTATAAAAGCATCCTAATGAAATACATCATTTCATGGTATAACATACCGTGATGATTGCGTATCATGCAGAATGCTGAACAAAGGCAAGTGATATTTTATGGCATAAGTAGAAGAAGAAGAATGAGCTGGCAAGTTTCAAGGCGACTGCTCTCTGACTGATCATGAAAAGCCTTGCACACGAGAAGTGCAAAAATTCACTTCAGGTCAGCTTACAGCTTTCAGGTCCAATGTCTGGAAGGTTACCAATGTATTTACAAATTCAAAAGACAGTTGTAATTATCTCCTTTCATTGTATCTTTTCGGGTACAGTAATTTTCTATAAACTAATCTTAAAATTATTCTCACACGACATTCATGCTGATTATTTGGTATAGTAGCGGTTTTGATTAGTGCGATTTTGTTGCCAGATCATGAACACAATGATGGGTCAATGATGACTTGAGTGAGGTCCACCGGCGCTGACTCTGCAACTGTTGATTGATTTAAAATCCTCAACTTCAGCGGCTCAATAAAAGGAACTTACACTAATCTAAAACAATAGAAGATAAAATACGTATAAATTTAGAAGTAAGAAGGTCCCAATTGTAGAGGACGAGTGAAGCAATCTATTTAAGTTGATCTTGTAGGGGTGAGTGGTGCCATAAGGAAATGTTTCCGGGTGACACGTGCACTTCGACAACCCTAGCGAAGGACGTCGTTAGAGCTAAAAGGAGATTTGTTTGTCAGGCGAATCTCAAAGGTCTGTTTCTTGACAACTAATCGATCAGCTTTGTCGTAATCGTATCAGCAGTAAAGATCAAGCAGCAAAGTCATTATCAGTTATGATCGGTCGGTTTCGTTTCAGTTTCCTTTTGTAAAGTTAGGTAGTTCTGTTTAGCCTCTTGCTACTGCTGGGTTCAAACCAGCGACTTTATTACTATTATTAGAAAAGGTAAGGCTTATCCATCGTTCTTAGCAGTTTTTCATCGTTTTTATCACAACAGCTAGTATACGTCGCTGTGGCATTTTATGGTTCAAACTGATTAATCAAGTCAAAAGAGAGTTACTCTTTAAAAAATGCACCTCACCTGTCGTACACGTGATTGTTGTTACCGGACACAAAGCAAATATTCTTTTCTTCGGTGACGCTAACAGTTAGAAGCGTAAGAAGAAGATAAGTGAAGAAGGGAGGGAGGGGTGGAGGGAGAAGGGGGGAGGGAGGGAGGGGTGGATAGCATGACATCAATATTTCGTTGCTATGAAGTCCATCCAAATAGACCAGAGCGGAAATCTATGAATAGCTCGAGGTACTCGTGATTTGCATGACTACAGTGGCTAAACAAATTCTGAAAAAGTGTATGAAGCTGGAAAAAGGAGCCTACATTGCGATGCTCCCTATCTTCCCGATGAGAATGCAATCTCTTCACCTCAAAGTAGAACCAAAAATTAATTAGCCCTAACAGCAAAAGACACCAAGACCTCACCTTGCATACAAAATGTTGTCAGTGGACTTTTCTATCAGGCTCGCATATCTAAAGTCGAACAATATCAATGGAAAAATTAAGTTCCTGGAAATGAATAATGCTAAAGACAATAAACACAATTCATATCAAACTGGTTTTGCTATTAAGGAAACGTCGTATTTTTTATTATCTTTCTTTCTCCTCTGAATCAGTCTTCAACTTCCTGTTTTGTAGTGAGCAGTCAGCAGATCTCAATTCACAGTAGCTGATTATTTATATCAAAAAAAATTTCAAACATTTCAATACCTTTCATTGTCAGTTATAGAAAGTCACAATATGACTAACATACGCCTACCTGTTTTCTTGATCAGTCTCATCAACAGCTAAACCATCCATCGTATCAGATAAGACTGCGTCGCTCTTGTTCTTGCTAAATTTGACATTAAGCTTTTCGTTATAAACATCTGTGTCTTCTTTCTGACTATGAAGGAAAACATCTGTATTTCATTTTTACAATAGGAAATAACCCACTATCTTGGTTAGGTGGCCTTTAAAAGTTTGGAACAATTTAATACAGAAGAGCCGTTAAAGTTAACAATCACAAAAAGTACTTCACTATATTCTTAGTTCTTTCAAAGCGGGTCCTTTTAAATTGTCGTTCACTGAAAAAATGAATTGATGGTCTACCTTCATGATCAGGGCAGACACATCAAGGAGAGGAGGATTGACCAAAAATGTAAACGAAGAAGTTAAAGCAATTAAGGATCTACAAAAGGATCACAGTGGAAACTGTCATAATAAGATACTTATGATTTACCAAGATACTTAATTTACCATTATAACGTTGTGCTATGAATTTACTGCTATCCCCTTCTTGAACTGCAGTCCTTTAAGCTCACGTTGCTGACGACCAGCAACGATGGTTTGAGACGTAATAAGCTCATTATATCAAGGGTAAATTACGTTCTGCATTAAACTGACATTTGTCCACGACCAGCAACATAATCAAGGATCCACAAAAGGGTTAAAGTGGAAACTGTCACAATAAGCAACTTATGACAACTTAATTTACCATTATGACGTTGTGCTATGAATTTACTGCCATCCCCTTCTTGAACTGCAGTCCTTTAAGCTCACGTTTCTGAGGACCAGCAACGATGGTTTGAGACGTAATAGGCTCATTATATCAAGGGTAAATTACGTTCTGCATTAAACTGACATTTGTCCACGACCAGTAACATAATCAAAGTTGGAGATAAGAGAGAACTACGTAAATTAACCAACACGTATTTGATCGAAAATACCTGATAAATTTCCTCTTATTCCTCATGAAAATAACTGCTAATCCCAAAAGACAGAGCACTAAAACAGCAGCAATAACTGCTACAACAATAAGAGCTGTTCTATCAGCATCGCCGCTTGTTCCTATCTGCTGTTCTGGAGGGTTCGCTCCCGAATGTTCTTTGTTGTCAGATGAAGTGTTCTTAGTTTCCCCTGTTGGTTTTCCGGTTCGTTCCTCTGGGATGGGCGATTTTACAGCAGATGTCCTTTGATTCGCGGAAGGTTCCATAGTACCAAGAGCTCTTTTTGTGGTGGAAATTCCTGCTTTAGATGGAGCTATGTGGGGAGAGAGAGGTTTTTTCGTGGCTGAAGCTCTTTTTGTGGTGGGAGCTTATGTTGTAGTTGGAGCTCTTCGAGCACTGGAAGGTTCTGTCGTAGTTGGAGGTGCTTTCGTGGAAAAACGTCCTCCTTTAATGGGGGACACTGGGGAAAATTTCTTCGTCGAACGTTTTATTTTAGATGGTGGTTTACTTGATATATTGGGGCTTAGAGTAGCTTTTGGGAAAGAAACAAGATCCACCGCTTCATTATTCAAAAGTTTGGATTTAGAATACTGGACCGTCCAAACGTACGAAGCCTTGGATATTTCTAGATTAGTTCACAAATTGACACGTTGGTAGTTAAACCAACTTTTATTGGTAATTGGTAGAGAGAGCCTCTTAATATGACTAACAAGAACTTAAGCTAAAATAATGATGAACGATAGAGAGTATTGCATCAGTTTAAAAAAAAAGTAGACCAACTTACCTGTAGGATCAAAGCATGGACACAACCTGCGGATGTAAGTGTTGTTGGCTGTGTGACAGTCAATGGTCCCAGGGATACCCTTAAATCCGACGCATACTCCAACCCATTTCGTGACGTGAGACTCCGCAAAGTAACAAGGGTGCTCTTCACTTTCATATTGTTCGCTGCCGTTGATAGTTTTGCACGAAATTCCCAGAGATTCGAATATAGGTAAAGCAGATGAACCTGGAAAGCTTTGCCCCGTTTTAGCACATTGAAAACCAAATGTTGCACAAACTGAATCGCAGTTCTGTCTAGGACAAGTTGCCAAAAAGTATTTGATTCCTAAAAAATCACAATAAAAGCTGAAATAAAGGCCTAACGAAGTTGAAAGTAGGGAAGCAATTCTTGGGTCTATTTACACAAGTGATGATTTCAATTTTCCATATGCTGTTCCCACGTTAGTAGATCGTCCCATAGACGAAGATTTTACCCTGATATAGCAAAGATTTTGCCTGGGCCACTCGGTACAATCCGTATAGACCATGTAGTAGAAGACAGTACAATTAACCTGGAACATTAAAGGGCTAGCTCAACCTCGAAAGAACAATATTTTGTTTCTTGATCTTCGCTTCCCAAGTAGTTCTGCAGGTTGTGTTATTTAGTGAATACATTCTATCCTACCTAAAGACGTTGCAACCAACAAAGGAAGTGTTCTTTTTCTTTGGCTTTTTTTTTTTAATTTTTCTAAGTCACCATGTCCAAATCAAGAAAAATTGATAATTTTTAGAGAACAATTATGTCGCGTGTTTTGAATTTAGCCAAAGTGAACTGATTGAATAGGAGAATCTGTCGACATATATGTATGACTCATTATCGGTGGTAATGTTTTTGACCGTCATGTGCCCTTCTCGCTATATTTGGCAAAATTTTTCAACGATACTAAGGATGCGCCCTGGCCGGTTTATTTTTCAATAACGCTTTTCTTCTGTAAACAGCCATGGAATTTTAAAGATTTAATTTACTTCCAAGTCTTTTCAAATCAACTTTCTTTTAAAATAACTCAGTAAGACCTTATTACAATACATCGGTAACTTTCAGCATGCAAATGCAACCCTAATTTTACTAGTTTGTCAAACTCAGAGATAAAAAATTTTGCGTCGGAATACCTGTCGCAGTTGCCCATGCGCCATCTGTCAGAAGAAACGACATGAACAAGCCAAGAAATTGTTCATGTGGCAGCAGCATTCTCCCAGAAAGAAACCGTACTTTATCAGTCCACTCAGAAATACTTTCGATAAATGTCACCCTCTGTAGCTTCTAAGCAACCCAATCGCGGCCAAATGAAATGTTGATAATGCTTTTTGAGTCAAGTATCATGTCAGGTCAATCTCAGGGTGGTCTTTCACGTGCTTCAAATTGATGAAAACAAACCTAACTCTGTTTATGTAATAAGTTTTTTGAGTTAGTTCTTCGTATTGAGCAAATATCTTCTTCCCGCGAAGACAGGTTAAAACGCACATTTCGGAAAAAATTGTGGTTAATGAAAGCTTGTAAGTCCATCATTTGCAAGGGCCAGCTAAGTGTACGAACTGAGGCCAGGTAATCAGCTGAAAATACATTGACATGTTTTCCCTGACAGGTGTCAACACTATTTACTCAGCACTCACAAAAGCACACAAGACTTGTGAAAGAAAGTTGTCAACAAAATTTGATTTCCCCTTCACCCTTAGATGCATTTCCGCCTTGACAAGTCTGCTTGGTCAAGAAATTGATGATTCAGGTTCTTAGACAAGTGGGCTTCTAAAAGAAAAACACGTCATAATCTTTTAACCTGCGAGACAGGCGTCGAGGGCTGTGAGGAGAACGAAAGGTACAAGACTTAAGCTGGTGTCTCGCTACGCCCGTGGTCTTCGCGCTCGTCTCGCGCTACAACCTTCAATTTTCACTGCCAAGGAAAACTACTCAAAATCAACAGTCTTGTGTATTTTTTCCTAAGCCTTCGATACTCTTATCAGATCCCTCACGCGCTATAAAGTTGTTTACTTCGAAATAACTTTGTGTTTGAGCACTCACGAATTTAAAAAATGCTTAGCGGACTGGCATCAAAGTTTCTTAAAGCCAGTCCGTTAAGCATTTAATTTTCTTTGCTAAATCACGCAAACTTAGTTGCGTGATACGGTATTTGTAAATAAAATTAATAACCTTACATCTGCTTGAAAATTTTATCATTTCTAGCGACAACTTTTTGCAATGGAACTCAACCAGCGCTCGGCTTAGTTAAGGTCGTGATAACCTATCCACCGCCCTAGATTAACTACATTTTGTAGTACCAATCGCATCAGCCCGGCCAAGGTCAGAAATAATCAGTTTTCATCAGCCTCCCAAGAGACTGTTGGAGAATGCGCGCACGACGGCGCAGTGCAGAGGCAGAATTGAGCGGCATATACTATGACTACAGCTAAAACGCATTAAGAAAAAAATAGACTGATCAATGGAAGACCCTTGTTACTGCCTTAAATGAGCGAGCAAACGTGACTCTACATGAGAAATGTCCTCTTCCTTAGCCTATCCCAATGATGAACGACAAACAACTAAATCCCCGTAGTGTAGACTTCTCTAGACGTATCACTGAAGAGGATCATCTCTAGACTTCTGCTCCTCGCCTTTCCGCCACCCACTCCTATGCGGTTTTCGTCTTTCCGTTTCCATTTTTAACCGGTGACACTAATACTTCCAATTGACCTTCGTTCTCAGTGCCTTTCCTGATAGCGATTGTTTAACGAGACTCTTCTCTTGTCAAGCCGTGGGAAAGTTGAAGCCTTTTGAACCCGACAGAGGAAACTTTTATTGTCATAAGTATTTCCCTCTTTTTTGAAGTACATAGGTGGCAAGTTCACAAACATACCCATTTTCAATCTTACAGGAAATAGCCCCTTCAAATTATGAATGATATAACTTTCAGTAGACGGTATTCTTTGCTCTCAAAAACCGTCATACCATTAATTCAAGTGGCTTTTATGGTGCGCAAGTTGGTTGAAACGTATTGAGTAGCTCTGTCGCTAACGTTTTCCATTCACAGCAACCCAACAGTCCAGAGTCTTCTCAGAGCTTTCAACGGAATGGCGCGAGAGGAATTTGTCTTTGAGGGGGCAAACGAACGATAAATGTTCCTGAAGCTTATTTGTATCGGTCACCTCGTGTCATGATAATACATTTTATATCATCTTCATTCTATTATGCTCGTCATTATCGTGGAAAAGCAATGGACTAATTTTAAACATAGTTCAATCAAACTTCTGATTTGGGGTCATCGGAAAGTGTCGTCTTTCAAAACTTTATTGTATCGCTAAATCTTTAATATTACACACGCTAATAGGGACCTCCATCTAATCCCCATTGATTTGGCGTATTTCGGATAATGAGAGGATTGTCCCAACCCACACATTAAGATCCTACGAGATAAGTAAGCTTATGCTTCCATACTGGGTCCCGCAGATATGCGGCTACATTATAACCTTTTGCGTTAGCCAAATTCCAATATTTCATGGAGTATAAATAATTTCTTTCATTATCTCTAGTCGAGACAAAATAAAAGTCAGATATTTTCTCTTAAGTAACATCGACCTAAAAGCACTTTTGTAACGCATTCAATTGAGCTTTAGCTTTTAAGTTTGTTGATTAAGTTACAAAGGCATTTTTATTGTTTTTCTGTGGGAAGAGGTCGGACTTCCTTGAGAAAAAAAAATAGAGAAAAAACTTCTAATATTTATCTCCTCGTTCTTGAATGGTGTGACTAGCGAACCAGCGCCAGACTCCACATCACTTACTACCTTCACTTCACTAACACAGACATAAACAAAAGTTTGTTCAAGGAAATGTAGATGGCAATCTGACCGAGCGCACGTCTCTTTCCTCAGTCTGTCTTGTTTAGAAAAAACGGTGAACACTCTCGAACCTTCTATCTCCCCTTGTACACTCCGCGCAAACCAGAAAAAAAAGAACTTAAATTTTCCATAATTAACGAAATACTAATTGAATTTTTTTCAATCCAATAATATGGATTAGAACTAGCCATATCTAAAGTGTTAACGTTAAATGAACCCTTTCTTCTTTCATAATCGCTTTGACCCTAAGAATGTCTCTCTGTCAATTTTTTTTTTGTTTTTTGTTTTATTTTACTGGTTATTTTCAACAATGAATAAAAAGTATGTCATAATCCGCAACACTATATTTTACTGTTGCTGGTGAACACTACCGAAGGAATTCTTGAAATTTCTTGTGCGTACATCAATTTCTTTCATACCATATTGTTTTTGACAAAAAATATAAAGTATAAGAATCCGCATCACTATCTTTTACTGTTACTGGTAAATATTAAGGAATTCGTGAAATTTCTTGTGCGCGCGTGAAATAAAAACCACTTCCGAAAGACGTCATAAGCTCACAACTATTTTAAAAGCTTTTGTGTGACATGCAATAAAATATAAATGATCTCAGCTCAAACGCCCCAGAAACTTTTTTACAGAGAGCGGTGTAGCCATTTTAACTCAACAGGGGGATCGATTTCTTTGTAGTGCTGTGGCTTAGAAATGGAACTGGCCAAGCTTGCTTTCTTTGTAATATCCCTTTATTCAGCTCACCTCACAGTAGCAGGTAAGCCTCAGATTTCAGACGCATTTCGAACTTTATCCATGCATCTCCAGTGGTGTTTAGAATAATCGTACTAAGAAAGATACACTTTCTCTTTGTTCTTGGGAAAATCTTTTCACGCCCTGTTTCCGCTCCGTTACCTATCTTTTGTTTTCCAGTAAATGCAATGACAATTTACACTTGCACGGGACGATTCGATGATAAAAAAACTGTCATAATGGGGATTTTTCGCAGTTTCATCAAACTCGTAAAAATGCGATCGTTACGACAGAATTACTGTAACAATCGATACCATAAGTGGACATGCATCGTTAATTGACTCGATTATAACAATGTTCCGAAAGGAAACCTGATGACACAATTAAGGGAGGTCCCTCTTCCTCTAGAACTTCGACATTTCTTAGAAGTAGGCGGGTTGTTCGCCCCACTCGGAAAGATTTTCCCAATATTTTCAACTTTGCGTCAATGCAGTACAAATAGCGCGCGTAGAAATATCCTCAAGCTTTTTATTTCTTTTGTTTCACTGGAATTTTTTGCAAGGTTGCCTCGAAACCGTAGCCTCGCGATAAAATCTGAAAAATCATTTTCCCTTTGTGCATTTGACATTTATCCTTTTAAATAGGTTCTAAAATAGTGTTTTATTATTTCAGCACCACTATGTCAAGATAAACATGACCAGTGCTCTGATCATGCAAGTTACTGCGGTAGTTACGACCACGTCAGGAAGCAGTGTCCACGGACCTGTAATCAATGCGGTATGTTATTTCTTTCACGCTCAGTTATCAAGATCATGCATGCATGATTTTGGTCAGGCTTTTAGGGTTTTGTTTCCAGTATACTCATCAAGCTAATCTATTTTCATTACAGCCTTAATTTATCCTTCGTTGTCCGTAACTCCAACGCAAAGCCTACCCACCGGAGCTACACCGCACACTTTCGCTCCACTACAAAGTTCGATGGCTGCGCTTGGTAGCCTGGCTACTGAACAAATCGCCACTTCGCTATCACAAGTTCCATCTCGAACGCAAACATCGAAAGCATTTTCATGCAGCCTTACACAAACACGAGCTAGTCTCCTTGTGTCACAGACACAAAATTTAAATGACTTCACCACGGCTCAAAGCCCGAGGGAAGTTTTACCAGGCTCCACCAGTCTTCCAACAGAAACCACTGATTATACGTCAGAGCCAAATATTTGTGAAGAAGACGGAGATAAACAACAAAATACTGCCATCAGAACAGCTGGATCATCAGCAAACATCTTGATGATTCTGACAGTCTCACGGATGTATGCATTCTTGTGACAGAGATAATATTGAAAAGATGAGAGCGCACTTCAACTAAGTGTCGTGAAACTAATATCAGAGAAAACACAACAGTCAATCAGTAGAAAGGGTATTGTCATCAAGAGCCCGCGAGAACACACGGTAAAAAACAAGTGAGCCGCCTAAGACACGCAGAACCGCAAGTAACCAAGGCACGTTTGGGTTTAGTTTGGCCTCTGAGGCGCAAGTGTCCTTGACTAGTGAAATCCCGGATTACATTCAGCACTAATCAGTTGAAGATTGTCCTCGCTTGCACATGGAATCTGTTTCTCAAAGGATTGCTTTTCAGAATATCCAAAATTAGAGTTATTAATAGAGTAACCTTTTGATATAAATAGTAAACTGAAAGCGGAAAATGCGTGACACGCCGTTTAGACCAAGCTCAAGCAAAGCAGATGGTAGATATAAATCTTTTAAACATCTGAAATCAGATCATGTAAAACTTTTCCGTTAAAAGTATGATATTTGAACTTCCCTTACAGCTTTTATTGATGTTACATATAAACGTTTTTTCAATTCCATTACGTTAACAATTTTACTATTTATATTTGTATTTTTGTTATTTATAAATTTTCCTCACAACTGTCACTCGTAAAGTTACTCTGAAGATTAGTTAAATAGCGGATTTGCTAATATATAAGCAAACCACTGTTCAGTAGATGAGTTTATCAATTCTCATCATTTGTTTCCTTCAAAACAAATCAAACCTATAAGGAAATGTTACGTTTCAAATACTTCCGAGAGTTAAAAAGTTAAGGAGGAGTAAGCCAAGATAAGGCGAGGCAGAAGTATATATTGATCAAGAAAACATTGGCTTGGTAACCACGCTAGATCCAGGCTTTTATCATGCGCCTTGATACCTTTATTTACCCCTTCGAAATATAATACTCTCCATCACTACCTCGGCTTCTGTCTGAAAATAGCTTACATGGGAAATTTCAGCTCAAGGTAGAATATTAAGCTATAAAGTCAACTGACTTATATCAGAAGTATCGAATTCATGGATTTTACGCAATTTACCTTCTTCCTGCTATTCTTTATTTATCCTCTGAACCAACGAGCAAAGGCAGGTACGTATCTATACTTATTTACCCCAAAATTGCCCATAGTCATTTCCGCAGACCATCCTAAGTTTATTTACCACACATTTTTCCTCTGTCGTCCTGTCCTCTTTTTAAAATCTTTCCCTACTCAAGATGAAGATCTGACTGTTGAACTCGTCTGAAGATAATTTATCAATATCGCAACTGCTTATCGTACGACTTTCTCGAGCTTTTGGTCAAGATTTCAAGTCGGGCAAGAGTTATCTCCTTCTCGTGACCTTATTTGCTGTTTATGAAAAGGCGGATCACATTCCCGAGCAATTTCAGGCTTGCTAGGCTTACATGGAATGTATCTGAAAATCACAAATTGTACCAATCTGTGTTTTGTTTCAAGGGGAGTAAGTTTCTAAAGAAACTTTGTTGCAAGCTGCGTCGGTGAGAGAGTATAACAGTGTAATTTAGTATCACGAACTGAGTTAATAACGTAAAGTGGCCACCGCAAAGAGTTTCAAAGCTGACGTTTCGAGCGTTAGACCTTAGTTAGAACGAACGAGCAGCCCCAAAACTCTCAGTTCGTGCCACAAGTTTTGTCCCGTCTTAGGAGCATTTTTCTGTAGATTTTCGCGTAGTGGCATGAACTGAGAGTTTTATGGCTTCTCATAACATATGAAATAGTTTCATTTAAGAAGTAAAAGTGCGGAATTCTTTTGAAGTCAGTCGCTAGAAATATCAATCACTTGGAGCCAAAAAGACTGAGAGCTTTGTGTTATCTCGAGATAAATTTATGCCTCAAACGCATTTATCTTTTGTGTTGTTTATTATAAAACAAACTCCTGTTTACTCTAAAATCAGATCAGAAAGGCTACCGAAGAAAGACACATAGCCTTAAGCTTATTGCTGACAAAACCACATCAATGACATACTTGTCAATACAATGATAACAATTAAACGTACAGAGAATACAAGGCAAAGGAAGGAAAAACCCTCTTAAGAGTGTCTATATTTTACTGTGGACGAAATGCGCTTTTAGCTCCATTGGTTGAAGTTTCCGTTGTTATATCACACTAATGACACTCAAGCGGACTCTTGCAACTGTCGTTGCATAATTCGATAACCTTTTTTTTTTTTTTACTATAAGCATAAAGAGCATGACCGAAACATACGATTACGAAAAAGAATGATTTCGTTACGACAATTTACTTTTGATACATCAGAAACATCTCCTTTCAAACAGAACCCCGGCCTTCTTTTTTCGCAATCCTCTGGTAATCCTACAACCTCTTCTCTTTATTCTAACCCCATTTACGAACTCCAATTAACGAGATTACAACTCTTAAATCAGAGGAGACCCGCATAGAAAGAGCCTTGTGGCTGAAATGGGCTCCTTTCCAAGACCCCATAGAGTCTTTACTAGTTGGACAATGAGTACAGAATCACTTAAAAATTGCAAAAATTCCTTAATTTCCTCTTTGTAGGCGGTAGGACATCAGCCCTGTGTCAGGATGAGATTTCGACTTGTCCCGAATGGGCAGAACTTTGTAATGGATATTTACATGTAAGGCAAAAGTGTCCGCTGACCTGTAAGCAGTGTGGTAAGTTGACATAAGTTGGCATTTCCCTGAAAAAAGTAGATTAATACAAACTTAACCGGACATTTCACTCTCGCCCAAGTGTATCATATTTTTTACTGACATCTCAGCTTATTTATCTAGTTTAGTGATTCTATTCCATAAGTCTTGTACCTATCATCAGTTTTTTTCAATCTAGTGATTTTACGAGTCACGGCTGATAGACACGGAAGGCAATTGTATGTTACCAAGCTTCTGTACAGCGCCAGAAGTTCATTCCGACGATGCGAAGGACTTTCATTTCCGGAGAAAATGTTGAAACAAATTAGACCCTCTAGGCATTGGGTCAAATGTGGGATGTTTCACCTTAATACCTCCTTTAATAAACTTTCACTGAACAAGTTTAAGACGGTAGACCATAGCCGTGTGTCATCGTGGAAGGAATTGAATGAAAACTGAGGGTATAAGTGAGAGAAATACACTCAAAGTTTCCGTTCATTAAAGCTAGTCAAAACGTACACCCTGTTAAAATCATCTTTGATTATAACAGATCCTTTTTAATTCCTGAAAATGACAGCCGTTACCTGTTATACAAATACCTCGGCCCAACAAAGAAACTTTGAAATATTGAACTTAAAAGTTCTGAATTTAACTCGTTGCCTTTTTTCCTTGTCAGATCATTTCGTCTCTGTTTTTTATCTGTTTTTCTTTTAACGAATTTCTTACTATTTCTCCTGCTATAGTTAACAATTCGCCTTTCACGCTTGTAACACCTTTGACGTCATCACGTCACCTCGTCTCAACGCGATGTACTTTATTCACCACCAGAACAAGTACCGTTGAAATTATCAATAGGGGGACGTCGTTAAAAAACACCATAATAACACCAGCGGCATCAACAACACCAGCGGTATCAACATCACCAGCGGCATCAACAACATACTTCACTCGAGTGAATGCACTTTTGACCTTAGGGATCATTTGGAGTCATATTCTCTGTCACTGATGATGTCACAAGTTGCTAAAAACAAGTATCACAAAATAATTGTTCACCTGTTGCGCCAGGAAACATCACCTACAAAATTTCGATTATGGCAACAAACATTTGAAATTCAAGGCTACTATGGGCCCAATTCTCAAAATTTCTTGTAATCTAAGGAATAATATTGCAGTTCAGTTTAAAACCAATGCATTTTCTTCCACTTCCTGTTATTATCATGGTTTGAATTTCAAAACCATCATCATCTCCATCCTGAATGGAGACACGACAAACAAAAAGCAGCTTTAAGGGACTGAGAACCACCGCGACTTTCAGGAATTGCGTCCCACGTCTTTCATGATAATTTTTTTTGGTCGAGTGATGTCTGCACGCAAACTTAGTGAGAAAATTCATGGCTTATTCCTGGGCAATCTCTCTTAATCTTGTGTAGCTGATCTCCTGTGAATAAAGTTGCATGTTCTCCGCTTACAGCTTGAATACCACTTCAGAGGACGAATGGACTCAGCATGAGTAGCCTGTGGTGAAGCCGGACGTATTATTCATCCCGGCTGTGGGGGATGACTGCGACGCAGGCTACGCATGGAGAGCCCATGCGTTAAGAATTGGACTTGTTATTTCAAGATCCTCTTGAAACTTCGAAAGCAGGATATTAAAAGATAATTTTAGAGGGATTTCTATAATTAAGGTTTTAAGAAGGTTTTAGTCGTATAGATTTATTCTCTCACGCTGATAGGCTTATCTCATAACATATCATCGTGTGACTTGTCCAAGAATGGACGCTGAATACCAAAACATCAAAGTGATCAAACCTTTCTTGACTTATGAGAAATTCTAGGTGCGAAAAAGTTATGATTTCCTGACTTTAAGCGGCAAAACACTTGTAATCCCTTTGTTATGACATCCTTTAGACACAAATAATATTACTTAAAAAGAAATATTCCCATACTTAGAATTTGGATAAATTCCAAAGCTGTTTCATCGAAGCCTTGACTGCACGCAAACAGCGATGCTCACTAAATTTCAAAACAAAGTCAGCAACTGCGCACGCGCTGTTGTTGAATTAGGTGAGGAGTAGTTGTGTAGTTACTCAGATACTGACATTATCGCTATCTCCTAAATCAATAAAAGAGTAAAGAAGGTTTACAATTATTTCTGGCGTAATGGATTGGGCGAGAAACTACGAAAGGACGAGAAATTTGTGTCCTTAAACTGCTTTCCAATGAAGCCAGGTGGACTATCATGCTGGTAACCCTTTGACCCGTAAGAGTGGAAAGCATAGAATTTTTCCCAACAGTATCCCGTTATTTAGGGTCATAAGGAAAAAGGAAATGATCATGAACTCAGGGAGTTGCAGAGATTTTGGACATTAAAGGCCGATTTTTACACAAGTGGCCGATTTTGGATTTTGAACACTAATGGGTAGTTTTGGATTCGGGTCACTGGTGGCCCATTTTTCATTTTCAACACTACTGGCCGATTTTAAATTTCGTACATTACTGGCCGATTTTAAATTTTGGACACTACTGGCCGATTTTGGACACTTATAGCCAATTTTGGATTTCGGACAATAGTGGCCGGTTTTGGATTTTGAACACTAATGGGTAGTTTTGGATTCGGGTCACTGGTGGCCCATTTTTCATTTTCAACACTAGTGGCCGATTTTAAATTTTGGACACTACTGGCCGATTTTAAATTTTGGACACTACTGGCCGATTTTAAATTTCGGACATTACTGGCCGATTTTAAATTTTGGACACTTATAGCCAATTTTGGATTTCGGACAATAGTGGCCGGTTTTGGATTTTGGCCACTAGTGACCAATTCGGATTTTGGATTTTGAATACTAGTGGCCGATTTTTGATTTTGGAAACTAGTGGCCGATTTTGGATGTTGGATTTTGGATTTTGGATTTGGACACTGGTGGCCGATTTTAAATTTGGGACACTAGTGACCGATCTTGGATTTTGGCCACCAGTGGCCGATTTTGGATTTTGGACACCAATGGCCGATTTTAGATTTTGGAGACTAGTGGCCGATTTTAAATTTTGGACACGAATGGCCCTTTTTTTTATTTTGGACACTAAAGGCCGATTTCGGATTTGGGCCAACAGTGGCCGATTTTAAGTATTTGGACACTAGTGGACAACTTTGGATTTGGGCCACTAGTGGCCGATTTTGGATTTCGGACACTAGTGGCCGATTTTGGATTTTGAACACTGGTGGCCAATTTTGGATTTTGGACTCTGGCCGATTTAGGATTTTGGACTCTGGTGGCCGATTTAGGATTTGGGCCACTTGTGGCCGATTTTTAATTTCGGACACTAGTAGCCGATTTTGGATTTTGGCCACTAGTGGTCGATTTTAAGTATTTGGACTTTTCACTAGGTTATTTTAGAGCCTTATGGAAGAATCAGGTGAATTTTATCATAAAAAAAAAAAAACAAAATCCTCCGACTTCACCCCAACCCCCTCCTCCAGGTGATAAATAATGACCAGTCCCTGAAGTCCCTGCACCTGTAAGCGCAGCTAGACGTGTCGAAAACTTATGACATGCGTGCGCATCTTCCTTTGATTCTTTACCTCACAAACCCTCTGAATTTGAGAGCAAGCCTCGTAAACCAGAGCAGAAGGACGGCGGTTGATCACTCCTTTAAAGATTTTGTCACATATATCTATCCAAATATCAACTTCCTTAGTAACAACTTCAGGTTGAATTCCAAGGATAATCAATGATGGTGGATTTACTCTGTGCTGCGCGAGTCGAGAACTCGACCGAGAGCGCATCGTGCACTTGTAAACCTGTTTACGCTGCTATAATCCCTAACATTGCCATCTCAAGTTTTCTATGTTATACCACAGCCATGATGAATATTGTGACAATCTACGCTCTGGGAAAAACGTCGTCGATCTTGAAGCCTTTAAAAATATTACTTCTGAGCCTTGCAGTTTCTGACCTCTGCACTGGACTACTAAGCCTGCCGTTGAACATCGCTTGGCAGATCCAAATGCTACGATGCAACCTTGATAAGATCCCTGCAGCTTTGAATGCCTTTTGTTCTAATTTCCTGTATCTATCTTCGCTTTTGGGGCTAACTGCTCTAAGTGCAGATAGATTCGTTGCCATTCAGATGCCTTTGCGATACAAGGAACTTGTGACTCACAAACGAGTGGTTATCATAGTCATCGCAAAGTGGCTTTTCTGTGCTATTTTTTCAGTGATCGATTTTTTCTTTACGCCAGTAGATTTTTCTTTTGCGATCCATTTTACAATAGAGTCAACTTGCTTTGTTCTTTCGACATGTTTTTCTTTCAAGGTATATTTGACAGCGAAGCTCCACAGGCACCGATTCCTCGCCCGATCACAACAGGTTGCTCAAAGCAATGAACGAACTCTCGCGAGACTCCGGAAATCTGCACTTGGTACGTTTTGGATTTATCTCGTGTTTTGGGCTTGTTATCTGCCGAATTTTATTGTTTATTGCATTTTTCATCTAAAACATGTGCATACTGGAATGCAAACTCTAGAAACCTGCGCGGCGACGCTTGTATATGTAAATTCATACCTCAACCCTATCATATACTGTTGGAAGATGAGACCTATTCGACGAACCATGATGAACAGCCTTCGAGGCCTTATTAGAAAGTGATAACTATTTCAATGGAGAACAAAACCATTTTTTGTTTAACAAAGAACAATTGTACAGAGCGTTTTTCTCGGACCGACCGGCAGACATCATGTCAAGTGGTTGGCTTTCAGACCTTTTCTATACCGCCCTATCAGGATTTATTAGATATTTTTTTCACCAACATATATTGGTTCCATAGTCTACTACTTGCTGATTCTTAACGTAGTTACTAGACTATTTTCTAGCTATCTTTTAGTTCTTTTTTTTTTACGATAAAAAGGTAAAACGGGAGCTGGTAAGCAACAGTCGCCGAAATAGCTTGCCTGCAGGTGGAAGCGGAAAAAATAAGAAACAAAAGCACGTAGTGGTTATTTGAATAAAATTAATATCGACTTTGAAAAGTCTGTTCAATTCCGTATTTTCCTAACAAATATGGCCCACAAAACGATTAGGACTAGCAGGGGGCATTTGGAGGACGCACCACAAGTTCTGTTAAAAAATACAACAGATATCCCTGACATATGATCCTTCGTAAACAAATTCAGATTAATTTAACCCTGGCTAAGATCTAGCTAAAGCATTTGTAACGATAGTGCATTTGGACACTCCACTATGATATGAACACTGCACCTATACACAAAGCCATTTTAGAGTATAGACTGGAGGTAGCAATAAGATTAGACCGAAGCCGTATTGAGATGACTGCATATGAATAACTAATTTGCTTTCGATTCGGTTTCGGAGCCTCATTCAAGCTGGTAAAATGTAGTTTAATACTTCTCCCTTTTTTAAGTCAATCGAAAATTTTGCTGATATATGCATCTAATTGTTCAATCGCTTATTTACATCATTCTATAGTTAAAAGTTCCACTAATGAGACTATCCTTTTTTAATTTTTTCCTCCGAGATAACCCAGGCTATTCTCTATATATATATATATATATTTTTTTTTTTAAATAAAACTATCGTAGATCATATGTACCAGACACCAGATGGAGATAAAATTAATGCAGGCGAAAGACACGGCATCTAGAGTCAAATCTAGTCTTCATATTGGAGGACAGACGCACGGATAACGTCACCATTAAGAGGCTGTCCGTGTCAGAACGGATAAGGAAAATTTCGACCAATCATCGATTTCCCTAAGTTTTTCACTGAAGTCAACAATGTTATCCCATGTACAAATATCACATTTATTTTGATCAATTTTATTAATTTTATTTTTTACGAGACAATTTTAAAGGTCACCCCAAAACTGCCCAATTTGTCTTTAAGTATCGAGCACTGCCAAATCCTTATTTCCCAATCTAGAAAGCTGATTATTTTACATATTTAAGAATGAATTTATTTCAATACTTCAAAGGTGAAGAGTGAGGAGTGAGGTACATGCGGTTGAAAGCTATTTTCTCTTACGTGGGAGCTGATCTAGAGTCAAGTCTATTGCAGCTTAAAAGTAATTGGATAGAG